GTAAGGTTTCTTCTGTCTCTACATCTCCCTCCCACATTCAGTGTGCACCTATTTATGTATGGGCAGCAGTACTGAAGGACCGCTGTCAATATTTCTCTGCCCTAAATGATGATCCAAGAGCGAAACAGCTTGTGTCACTTGCAACCTACAAAGTTACTTTAAATTATGGATTTACAGATTACTTAAGTTAGAAAAATTAACCCTTATTTTTAACCAATGACAAAGAGAATAGCTCTCCCAACTTCAGCATGTTGCAGAATACAGCATATATTGCTACAGAATTACAACTTTTTATGTTAATCTATCTTTAGCACAGGAAAAATATCTCTCTCTACTCCCAAAAAGGAGTAGAAGGAAGGAAAAGACACTAAAATTGAAAAAAGATGTTTTCCTTCTTCTGCCTTCCCCTAAGGACTATTTTCCAGGTATGACCACAGGTTCTAGGTACAGCCATCCCTGGACATCAAAAAATATATATTCTGGAAAGTTGTTTTGTTTTGGGTTAAAATGGAGCATAAATTTGTGTTTACTCTCTTGGTCTTCTGAAAATACTCTGAGGGACTCCAGAGCTTCACGGAAGTCCCAGTTGTGCTCCTGCAGCACGCTTCTCAGCTCCTAAAAAAAAAAAAGTTTTTAAATGTTTTTTCTGTAGGCATATAATAAGGAATAAGAAATTACACTTTGTAGGTCAGATGTTTCAGAAGAAGTCAAGATGAGAAATCTTTGGTTTATCCTTATTCACAGTTTGAGACACCTGAACAAGCTCTGCTTCCAGTAGCTTAAGAAACAGTACTGAAAGACTCCAATTTCTCCTCTTGCTGGGGGCAAGGTGCATGGGGATTAACAACACAAGGAGAGTCTACTAGGAGAGAAAATGATACTTTCAGAATCTCACAGGATGAAGTGACTGACTACATCTGAGTATTTTTCCCCACACACATTTTTATAATACGTCACCAAATTTGAGAGTGCCAGGCATGCCACGGGACCACAAGCTAGAACAACTAGTTCTGTGAAATCTCCATTGCATCCATCTGCTTTCAGTCCAATTCAAACTGCGTTCCCAGAGCTCTAACCCTGGAGACCCCGCGTTCTTGCTGGTCTGGTCCTAATGAAACCATCCTCAGCACAACCACAAATTTCTGAGACCTCATCCAAATCAGATGTGTCCTCCGGAGTCACAAGAGCTCACCTTCCTAGCCAGTTCTGGGAAAGCTTTCTTCAGCTTCTTTACGAGAATTTCTTTCTTCTGCCATGCCTTGGGGGATTTGGGTGCGTCCCACTATGTTTAAGAGAAGAAAAAAAAAAGAAAAAGACACAAAAACTATTTAGTTTTACATGAGTTACAAGCGTAGAAACAGAAACATCCAATCCAATCCTTACAAATCCATCCAATCCTTACCTTTGAACAGCTGCTCTAAATCACAAAAGCGCTTAAGAACAATGCAAGGAGTAGGAATGACTCCCCACACAAAACCCATGCTCAAAATTAGACTCAGTCTCCATTTACTGGCATATCAGCATTGATTGCCCAAGAGGCACATATAGTGTAAAACTGCACACCAAAATTTACACATATAACACATACAACCAGAATCAATTTGGCAGCAATTCTGGATGATTTCTATTTTCCTTCCATTTAATGGTTGATTTGATTATTTTATTGTGATTTCAGGCAATATTTGCGTAGATATCAGCATAACACAAAGACATTTGCTGTTCTCCATCTAACCTCCCATTACTACAGAAAAGCCCCCCTACGTCACTGTGAACACACTGAAGTCAGGGCAGAACACAAAACATCACAACACACAATACTTACTGAAGTAGCTTTGTGCTTTTTTGCCACCTGCTCATCCTCGTCATCACAACAGGGGGGAGAAAGTTCCAGTTTTCTTTTGTGAGAGACAGCTTGAAAAAGAAAGAAAAACAGAAAGGGGAAGTGCAAGTTACTTTCACTAAGTTCACCTCAGAATGGCGGGATGAGTCACACCAGAACTCCAGAAGCCAGTTTTTGGTTAACGGCACAAGAAGGTACATTTTGAGAGAAATTTTCAGATTTTTTTTTTAACAACTCAATTAGTCTCAGGATTTTGTGGGGGTGGGGAGGACACCACTCTGAGGCAGCCCACCAACCTACAAATAAAACCAGTATTAAGAGGGATAATCCTGGGCATACTTCCACAAAACCATCCCTCTGAAGAGGTAACCATCATTGCCATTACCCAGGCAGCTGGCAGAACTGAGGATAACTCCAAAAATACAAACTCAAAATTTGGCATGAGGCTTAGCTTCTTGCAGCCATGTGTTACTTAGTAAAACCCTATTTACCTAGGCAATCAGTATGCACCTGCTAACGGGAGGAACTAGGCATTTCCAACTGAGCAAGCATACATTTATAAAACTCTAACGTTTTAAAGTAAGTGTTACAGGTCTCTAGGCACAGTACTGCCAGGACCGTCATTGCTGGACATCCAAAAAATTTATACTGGAAAGTCCTTTTGGGATAAAATGGGCTATAAGTGTGTCTTTACTCTCTTGGTCCTCTGGAAACACTGTGAGGGACTCCAGAGCTTCACGAAACAAGCAGTTGTGCTCCTGCAGCACACTTGTCAGCTCCTAAAAAAAAATAATTAAAAAAAAAATTATTTTCTGTAGACATATAATCGAGAATAAGCAATTACACTTTGTAGGACAGATGTTTCAGAAGAAATCAAGATGAGAAATCTTGGCTTTATCTTTATTCACAGCATAAAGTGACTGACTACACCTGACTATTTTTCCCCACACACATAGTTATAATACATCACCAAATTTGACAGTGCCAGGCTTGCCATGGGACCACAGCTAGAACAACTAGTTCTGCATAGCCTCCCTTTCCATCCACCTGCTTTCAGTTCAAGGCAAACTGCGTTCGCAGAGCTCTAGCCCTGGAGACCCTGAGTTCTTGCTGCATGTGCTGCTGGTCTGGTCCTAATGAAACCATCCTCAGCACAACTACAAATTTCTGACGAGGTCAAAATCAGATTTGTCCTCCTGAGTTGTGAGAACTCACCTCTTTGGCCAATCCAGGGAATATTTTCTTCAGTTTCTTGAAAAGCATCTCTCTCTTCTGCCATTCCTCTACAGATTTTGGAACATCCCACTATGTCCAGAGGGTGTGGGTGTGAAGAAGGGGGGAAAAAGAATAAGACAAAAGCTAAGACCTCATTCAAATGGCAAGACTTGCCATAACAGGATTTTCTGATAAAGCATGCTGAAATCAGGGCAGAAAAACAAGACAAAACAACACCACACAATACTTACAGGAATAGCTTTTTGCTTTTTGGCAGCTTGGTTATCCTTGTCATCGTCGTTTGTGTGAAAAGTTTTTAATTTTCTCTTACGAGAGACAGCTTAAAAAAGAAACAAAAAGAGAAAAGACAAAGGGGACGTTACTTTCATTAAGTTCTCCTCAAAATGGGAGGATCAGCCACATTAGTACTACAGAAGTTACTGTTTCTTAGCAGCACAAGAAGGTACATTTTAAGAGGCATCTTCAGTGCCTATGCAGTGACAGAGGCAGTAGAATGATTATTCTCCTCACAATTTAACTAATGGAGTATTTTTAAACATATTTGCTTTTTAACGTCTCAATTAGTCTCAGAGTTTTGTGAGGGGACGCAACTCCGAGGCAGCCCACCAACAATCTACAAACAAAACCAGCATTGAGAGCTACCACTCACCTGAGCTCCACACAATCATCCCTCTTAAGAGGTAACCATCATTGCCATTACCAAGGTAGCTGGCGCAACTCCAAAACATAAACTCAAAATTTGGAATGAGGTTCAGCTTCTTGTAGCCCTTTCTTGCTTACTGAAACCCCATTATTCCCTCCTAGAAGGTTTCCCTATATTTAGGGGAGTGAGATGGAAAAGTCAAAGTTCTCCAGTGTCCAACTTTCAGGTGGAGAATGAGTTTTGTCAACCAGGTAATGTCAGAGACCAGAAAGACTGCATCTATAATGTTCAACTTGGGGACACACTGGAGTCAGACACAACAAAGTCATGAGACACAGAGCTCCTAAGCTGCTGTCTGTCTCAAACAGCAGCGGCTTTCCAAATGCAAGATATATTTGACTCCTTCTGGAAAGCAGCTGTTTAGTCAATGCTAAAACCAAACGAGTTGCAGTATGCACGTTACTGCCAAACTGGAAATGGTGATGACTGATTTCTGGCTTAGGTGCACACCAGAGGGGTTACCAGACAAGCGGCTTTCAACATGAGACTGAAGTACCTGAAATGAAACTGTTTATGAAGTCTGTCAGTCATAACCATATTATTCAGTGATAACTTAATTATTTATGAATAGTTCATATGAGTCAAAACTTTCCAAATACCTTTGGGCCTCAAAGATTATTGAAGATGATCATCTTATCAGTTGCTTACGACGTGCCTCATCAGGTGCACCTCCAACAGCCACCATCGTCAGGTTAGGAGCCCATTACTGATATTTCTCCACGCTAACAATCACTGCTTCAAGTGCAGTTACCAAACGGACACCCTTTTACTATAGCCCAAACTGTTTCAAAAGCATGAGGCTCAACAATCCGATCAGTGCTGCCAGTCAATCTTTTTGGTAGACAGGCTGCCCACAGAGCCTCAGCCTCCAACACCGGCATCTCCAGCCAACCGCCCGCCCTGGGCTGTGGAGGACGGTCACTGAACAGCAGCATGACTCAGCTGACCACTCCAGTTAAAATAGGCATGCTCACTTCCCAACCACAACAACTGCACCAATAACCACAAAAATTTCACTTGTGAAAATTCAGTACCTGCATCTCTACTCTAAAACCACTAAATATATGTGAAAACCCTTCAAATATATGCACTACTACCTTCATACTTGCCCCCTCTACCATCAAGCACAGAAGTGACAAAAAAAAAAGTGAGAAAAGAACAACTTTACAGGCAACCTAACATGTGCTAGAGGAGCAGGGTAACCATAATCTCATGAAGTTAGCTGCGAAGTTATTTCAAATAAATCTGTGGTCTTCTGAAACCGAGCACGAGTACAACTGAGAAGAGCATTTCTCAAGACATACACTCTGAAATTCAACAAGGTGCTTGGCAAACTACACACAGTTATTCCTTCCTGTGCTGAGGGGACACATAGCTGAAAGGAAGAAGCAGCTCTGTACTACTTCTTTACTTTCAAGGTATTCAGAAAACAACACAGGGAAACAAATTAAGTGAGACAGGTATTGGTAGACCTTTGTTGCTTCCATTAATGCACGTTATCCATGTGTTTCATCTTATTGTGGTATTGAAATAGGAGGCAGATGTTCACTATGTCTCCATGTCTAAAATATGCATCTATAACAAGATAATTTATGCTATCACTTTCAGACATGTTTACTCCTAACTCAATCTTTTACAATGTAATTAGTCTGAATTTGCCTGCCAAGATTCTTTTCATGTGGGCTCATATTGAAAAGGTACAAAATGGTATTCCTAGATCAACACAAAAATGGCCAAAAGGCCAAAATGCATGACCTACATATTATATATCAGAGTGGTTTAGTCCAAGCATTGCAAAGTGCAAGAAAGTTTAAAGGTGCATCTTCACTTAAAATGGTTTCATCAAAGCCCTCGAGAAGTGATCATTGTCTAAGCAGAAATTTTGCAAGAGGGGCACCCAAAAGTAGCATTCCTCCAGGCAAATAACTGGGAGCTTTATTTTTCAGTTACCAATATCACTGAGTCCCACCGCAACTAGATGGGAACAACTAAAATTGCACTGACAGTTGCAAGGTCAGTTGCACTGACCTTTCACTTGTTTCCCACACAGTAAATCAGTAAGAAAGAATAACACAAAATAATGTGCACCCGGGTCTTGGGCAGACACCAAAAATGACCCTTTTACAAACTCACCTCTTACACGTTGCTAGATTTGGCAGTCTTTTTGGTACTATCATGGTAACATCCCAAACAAGCTGTATGTACTGGAAGGTAAGGTCTGGCAGACATTAATGTATATTTTAGCACTTGTTAAATACCTCAAAGGAAGTTCACTTCACTGAATCAGGTACAGTTTCTGATGTTCTTATAAACATACCGTCATCACTGGACTTCAGAACAGATGCTCCTGGTTTATACATTGCGCACGCTGACTCTATCAGCTGAAGAAAAAAACAAAGGCAACTGCTAAGTGCTGGATTTCTCTGAACAGAGGAAAGCAGCCAGAAGTCAAAATGACTGAAATATAGACAACACAGAACTACTGAAAATGTTTTTTAATACAAATCTTACTTATTCCTACTTTTCTCCTACTTCATAAACTTATTGTACAGGTTTAAGCAAGGTTTAGTCTTTTTCTAAGACTATTCTATGTTAGTCTTAACAGAAC